TAGGAGAAACTTGAAGAACAGGAGGAGAATGAGGTAATCAGTCCCTCAACCTTTTGTGATGAATGGTTTGAAAAACCGACAAGTTGAAGATTGAGACACTTATGCAACATATGGGAATAAAGATTCCCATATGTTGCATAAGTGTCTCAATCTTCATATAAAGCCTTTATATACCCTCTGTGTCCATGTATTGTTTGTAATGGCTTGATAAAGCTCCTGGAAAGCGAAACGTTGCCACAATAAAATGTCACATTAGTTGCACTTGTGTCCTTTTACTTTACATATTGTCGGTAATTCTACCAACTTTATTACTTACGCTTCTTGATATAAATCCCAGTAATCTATTTGCCTTATTACGTACGCTTAGGCAGTGCTGTCTTGGTTTAAGGTTGTGATGAATGGTTTGAAAAACCGACAAGTTGAAAAATGCTGCTCACCATAACCCCCAAGTCCTTTTCGCAATCTGTATAGCTAAGTTCTACATCATTGAACTTATAAGTGCTAGGGTTATGGACACTCATGCAGGTTCATGGAGGACACTCATGCAAGTTCGGGTGTCATCTGCAGAGGAAAACACGGTGCTGTGGTTTGCATCCCTGTCTGTGTCAGATATGAGGATGAGGAACAGGATGGGAGCGAGTGGAAACATAAACACATATGCAATAAAGTTGGTAGAATTACCGACAATATGTAAAGTAAAAGGACACAAGTGCAACTAATGTGACATTTGTAGATGAATGGTTCAGAGAACCGACATGTTGATAAATTAGACACATGTGCAACTCTTGGGTATCTTTATTGAGGAAACGTTTCGCCACACAGTGGCTTCATCAGTCCATACATAGGAGAAACTTGAAGAACAGGAGGAGAATGAGGTAATCAGTCCCTCAACCTTGAGTCGATGTGTTCAGTCCATCAATCTTGAGTAGAATACGGCAGATGAGCGGAGAAGCAGCTTATAAACCGTATGGCAGGAGAGGTGTACAGTCATAGGTAGTGTCACATTTGTTCAATGTGGGAAATAGGTTGTGCCCCAAAAATTAGGGCCAAAGCAAGAATTCCTAAGTAAATTTAAAATCCCAAGAAGTTGCAGGTCTGACAGTTTGTAGATGAATGGTTCAGAGAACCGACATGTTGATAAATTAGACACATGTGCAACTCTTGGGGATCTTTTTTGAGGAAACGTTTCGCCACCAGTGGCTTTATCATCCATACATAAAAACTTTAAGAAAAGGAAATGAGGATTCGCCCCAGTGCAAAACTTTCCTCAATAAAGAACCCGAGTTGCACATGTGTCTAATTTACCCCACTGCTGAAGGCCTACGGCCCCTACGAGGGAGGTCCTTATCAAAACGACATCCCTAAACTACTCAAAAATAACCCCCGTACCCTTTTAACCCCAAAAAACCCCCCCTCCCCCCATATATTCCACCCCTTCTTTAAAACAAAACCCAAGGGCCTAACCTCTATCACCTTTTTGGAAGACTGTTCCCACGATCTACAACCTGTTAGAAAACCCGTACTTACCCATGTCTTTCAAATCAAATTTTCCAAATTAAAACCTTTTTCCTGGTTTGACACCCCCAGTACTTTATTAATTCTCCCTTGTTTTTGCCCGTCATCCCCTTTTACACTTTTAATGATATCTCCCCCATTCTACCCTCTCCCCAAGTGGGGATTTTAAAAGGGTTTAAGTCTACTTCAACGGGGGGTTTCCCTTACACAGTAAATCATTTTTTGTCATTTTTCTCTGTATGCTCAATAATCTAAAATCCATCCTTATAAGGGGGCCAAAAAAGAGCACATAATCTAAATGAGGCCTCCCATGTTTAAGCTTTAAAAAAACTTTTTGGGCTTCTTTATTATACTTCTTGAGATAAATCCAAGTAATCTGGGCCCTTTTTGCGCACACTAAAACCTGCTGTCTTGGGTTTAGATTCTGCTTGTTAGGGAAACACATACAACATTAGGGATCTTTATTTTTGAAACGTTTTGCCTCACAGTAGGCTCTTCAGTCGAGTACATAAAAATTGTAGAAGCAAAGAGATTTAAGACATTTAACATCCATCACCCTTTAAAAATTTTATGGGACCCCCAACCGGAGAAACATTGTTCCAAAATTTAAACAAAATTTTTTTCAAACTTTGGAACAATGCCTTTTTCCAACGAGGACTGACCACCTCAAACTTTAAGGGGGATGGACTGATTACATCCTTCAAGTACTTCTGCTTTTATCAACTTTTTTGTACTCGACTGAAAACCTCTGTGTAGGCGAAACGTTTTTGGAATAAATTGCCTAACGTTATTTTAATAAAAGGGCACAAATACAACTAAAGTACATTTATGTGGCAAAGTTTGCCCCAAGGGCTTCATCAAGCCATTACAAACAAACATGGACCAGAGGGATATAAAGGGTCTATGAGGGGCAATACTATGAGGTAACATTTCGATGTTCACAGTATTGGGGATAAAGTATAGTATAGTAACAAAAAAATACAATAGAAAACAATTAATTTGTACATATAAAAAGGATTTTAAAAAACATTACTTTGGGGAAAAAAAAAGGTTGACAAATAAGACTGGGAAAAGGCAAGTTTTTTTTTTTAGTGTTGACTCTCGGTAATGTGCTTGTGTAGTATAACAGGAGAGACTATGTGATGGCAGGGTTTAATGTTTTCAGGAGGATTCTTGCTAAGACTTCGGAGATGGTGAAGCTGCCGTTGTTTTGTTTAATTGTATTCGAAACAGCGATCAGTGCTGATTCAAGGCACTTGCGTCTGCGGAAATTAGTTTGAACATTAAAATGGTATAAAATACCGACAGGTTGTTAGGTAAGACACATATGCAACAGTTAGGTATCTTTATTATGAAACGTTTCGCCTACACAGTAGGCTTCTTCAGTCAAGTACAGAAAAGTTGATAGAAGCAGAAGATACTTGAAGAGGATGTAATCAGTCCATCACCCTTAAAGTTTTGAGGTGGTCAGTCCCTCAGTCTGGAGAAGAGCATTGTTCCATAGTATTGTTTCATACTATGGAACAATGCTCTTCTCCAGACTGAGGGACTGACCACCTCAAAACTTTAAGGGTGATGGACTGATTACATCCTCTTCAAGTATCTTCTGCTTCTATCAACTTTTCTGTACTTGACTGAAGAAGCCTACTGTGTAGGCGAAACGTTTCATAATAAAGATACCTAACTGTTGGAAATTAGTTTCTTTGATCACTAATTGGGCGTCTCTGAATTTCATGAGATGATTGGTGGAATTTCGGTGTTGTACACAGGCGTTGTTTAAGTTGTCGTTCCTACATGCGTAAATGTGTTCATTGAGGCGGGTGTCGAGGTTTCTTGCTGTTTCACCTACGTAGATCTTGTCACTATACCCTGTGGAGGCTGTGACAAGATCTACGTAGGTGAAACAGCAAGAAACCTCGACACCCGCCTCAATGAACACATTTACGCATGTAGGAACGACAACTTAAACAACGCCTGTGTACAACACCGAAATTCCACCAATCATCTCATGAAATTCAGAGACGCCCAATTAGTGATCAAAGAAACTAATTTCCGCAGACGCAAGTGCCTTGAATCAGCACTGATCGCTGTTTCGAATACAATTAAACAAAACAACGGCAGCTTCACCATCTCCGAAGTCTTAGCAAGAATCCTCCTGAAAACATTAAACCCTGCCATCACATAGTCTCTCCTGTTATACTACACAAGCACATTACAGAGAGTCAACACTGAAAAAAAAAAACTTGCCTCTTTCCAGTCTATATTTGTCCAACCTATTTTTATGTTACCCAAGTAATAGCTTTTATATCCTTTTACTCATGTACGAATTAATTGCTCTTCCTTTATATTGTATTATTTTTGTTACTACTACTACTACTACTACTACTACTACTACTACTACTACTACTACTACCACCACTAGTGAACATCGAAATGTTACCTCACTAGTATTGCACCTCACTCAGAGCCTTTATATACCCTCTGTGTCCATGTATTGTTTGTAATGGCTTGATAAAGCTCCTGGAGAGCGAAACGTTGCCACAATAAATGTCACATTAGTTGCACTTGTGTCCTTTTACTTTACATAACAGTTAGGCAACTTTATTCCAAAACGTTTCGCCTACACAGTAGACTTCTTCAGTCGAATACAGAAAGTAGGCAGGAACAGTAGAGATGTGAAGACGATGTAATCAGTCCATCACCCTTGAAGTCGTAGAATTTGAGGTTGTCAGTCCCTCGGCCTGGAGAAGTTCAGTTCCATAGTCAGGAACTATCAGATAGATTGAGATTAAGACACATGTGCAACATCTGGGTATCTTTATTGTAGACGTTTCGCCATCCAGTGGCTTTATCAATACAAATTCTAGGACATAACTTGAAGACAGTAACTATGTACTTGTCGGTATTATATACCATTCGTACACAACTATCAGATAGTCAGGAACTATCAGATAGTCAGGAACTATCTGATAGTTCCTGACTATCAGATAGTTCCTGACTATGGAACTGAACTTCTCCAGGCCGAGGGACTGACAACCTCAAATTCTACGACTTCAAGGGTGATGGACTGATTACATCGTCTTCACATCTCTACTGTTCCTGCCTACTTTCTGTATTCGACTGAAGAAGCCTACTGTGTAGGCGAAACGTTTCGGAATAAAGTTGCCTAACTGTTGCCTATGTGTCTTACCTACCAATCGAGTTTGTGTTCTTGAGCTCTTGTGTTCTTATGTAGGTTAAAAAATTAGTTTAATACATGTATCAGTGACGTCAGACTACGTCATGTAGGAGTCATCTCTTTCTAAGAACAACACAACATTTACCGCCAAATTGTATCCTAAATTAAAATGTAAATATTTTTAAGAAACACATTTAAAAATGCAAATATAATTTAACTTTGTACTTACATTTTTATTAACGTTTCAATAATTTCTTTGAAGGTAGGAGAGTATAACATGATTATAATCACCAACGCTAATATAAGTGAGCGCTAACTTGTGAGAGGCGGGTGAGTAGTGATGGCGGCTATATAAGACCCAGACAAGAGTGGTTTAGTTCACAGTAACACCAGAGCTCAGGGCATAAATACCCACCTCGCAGCAACCTCATCATCTATTATAACAAATTTATTTGTTCGTTTCGGTGAGTTATGGAAAATATTTCTTATTATTTACGTTTCGATCTTGTTTCTTGCCGCTCAACACCCTTTATGACGGATTCTACATCTAAACTTCTCTCTCTTTTGTTATCTAATCTCATTCTCATGGCGGTGCATGACCTATGTAGGATTTAGCTCTTCCATCATGAATGTATCAGCCTAATTATTATTTTTGTTGGGGGTGGGGGGGGTTAGGCTACTCAGTATTTGGTTTTCTAGTAATGTATTCAGGTTTTTGTTTGTATTTTAATAACTTTTATACGCTGTCAAGATTTTATATATCTTTAACTGATATAAATTTTATAGTTGTTATATTTAGATCAAATGGATATCTGTTTATTGGTATTATATTTCCTCGTGTTTTCTACAATAGTTTCCTGCCCTTGTTATAGTAGTTTCTCTTATTTTTTTGTTTAAGGAATTTTAGCTAGGACCAAAAACATCTCATGTGGGTAACAACTATGACCCTTTGGAACGCCACACGTGATGAATCCTTATTTAATAATGAATGTTGAGAGGCAGACACATCATGCTTGGCCACAGTGGAAGTAGAACATCCTAGCGGGACCACTGACCGTCTGTCTTCCTCCCTCCCGTTATCTCATGCACACCACACAACTGTTCTTTAGTATTATTAGGCGTGGAGGTTAGGTAAAATAAGGTATATCACGAGACAGGACATGTGTTTTCTCTTAGTCGTAGGATGACCCACAGCAGGAGCTTTTGGTCATCAGACCGAGGCCTTCCACTGGCTTACCGGTCAACCCCTTTAAAATTTATCTGAAGATGGGTGGGCAGGTGGTGACTGTGTGTGTGGACGACATACTTTTTCAACCTTGGCCGTGAACTTCCTTCAGGGTCTGGTTGACCTTGATCCACCAGGAGGCCTGGTCACAGACCGGACCGCGGGGGCATTGATCTCCGAAACCCTCTCCAGGTATACAGAGTACCTGACGGCTTGACTGGGGCCATATAGGGTACATATACTGAGGGTGTCGAACCAGGTAAGAACCAGAAATAATGGATTTAAGTTGGATAAATTTAGATTTAGAAAGGACATAGGCAAGTACTGGTTTTCTAACAGTTGTAGATGCGTGGAACAGTCTTCCCAGTGGGGTGATAGAGGCTAGGACCTTGGGTAGCTTTAAGAAGAGACTGGACAGATATATGAGTGGGAGGGGCTGGGTTTGATTGGTGTCATTGGGTACGGGAGTTATTTCTTGGGTAGCTTTAGGTAGAGGTCGTTTTGATAAGGACCTGCCTCGCATGGGCCAGTAGGCCTTCTGCAGTGTTCCTACATTCTTATGTTATGTTCTTAAAGTCTGTTTTATTAAACCAAACTTCAGTATGCCGTAGTAGCAGGTTTACAGTACACGTGCAGTGAGGCAGATGTTAATGAACCTGTTTTTCCCCACAGGTAAAGATGCGTCTGATGTGGATAGTTGGAGTTGTGGTGCTGGCACTGGCACTGGCCTCCGCCACGCCTCTAGACTCTACTAACCCAGAACAAGAAACGTGAGTGCATACATTATATTCTTGTACTATCATGAAATCTTTTAATGTATTGTGTAGATTCTAACAATTTTATGTTTTCCTGGTTCAGCATATCTTTTATTACTGTAATATCATGTTCTTAATTTATGATGGGTTTATTTCAGTACTACAGGATCGAAGACTTTTCATGCAATAAGGGCGTTCTTCAGGCCCATGACTGATTACCTGTTTAAGAAGCTTCCGTCCAAGACTCCTTCAGACGTCGCTACAGATGTACAGGAAAAGGTAGTTTCCTTGATGATATTTTCATAATGTATGAAATACTACGAGTTTAATTCTTACTACATATTACAACCTATATTTTGCAATGAACTGAATGTATTATTCGTGCTAATATAGTGGTTGTTTAAACGTTGTAATGTTACAGGTGACGGATGTGAGACAGTGGGCTGAAGAAAACCAAATGATACAAAGCCTCGTCAGTTCTCTGGCACCAGTCAAGTCCTGGATCAAGGTACGTCTCTTATCCCTTGCTAATATATGCTGTTGGCTAAAATGTAATAAATATTGACAAAATAAATCTGAAGATTACTGTATAGTAGCTTGCCGTTTGTTTCGTATTACAGTGCTAAACAATTTCCCCATCAAAATTTACCTTCGTGAATTAATGTTTTGATTAGTAAGATTATAACAATAAATGTTGCCAATTTCAGGAGAGAGCCAACGCTCTGCAGGACAAGACCTTCAGAGACATGTACAATGACGTGAAGGAACGTGTCAGTGACCTGGACCAGAAGATTGGAGCATGGATTGAGCAACATAACAAGCAATAAGAGGCTGGTTGTCGCTCTCCCACACATCATTCACAGCCTAATATCTTCACTTGCCCATCACTTCATGTATATTCATTATATTTATATGAAACCCTAAACCCCTACTATAATCTGGCTGCTATGGTAACTCCATGCAACCACACCGTTACCAGACAGTATTAACTTCTGAAGCCATTAATTTTGGATCTCAGGGTTTGTGTATAAACCACATTCATGTATGTATTTTCTTCCTACATTGTCTCTCACGTATTTATATTATAAACCTGGGCCCCTCAAGGAAGGTTCCTTGATGTTGGTGAGGGGCTCTTGATTTAGGAAATTGGATCTGTGCTCCAGTTCCCCGAATTAAGCCTGAATGCCTTCCACATCCCCCCCCCCAGGCGCTGTATAATCCTCCGGGTTTAGCGCTTCCCCTTGATTATAATAATAATAAAATAAACCTGGAAAAATGTATCTGTCACTTTTGGAAATAAATTTACAGTTACTTAATTATGTCTTCTTGCCGGTTATCTAAATTTTTAATATTTTTACGGGGGCGAAATAGTTACACGTGATGGGACTGCATGAGGTTTTTCTTTGTTGGTGACAGGCTCTTGATCAAGAACCTGGGCTTGAACATTAAATGGTATAAAATCCGACAGATTGTTAGGTAAGACATATGCAACAGTTAGGTATCCCTTATTTTGAAAAGTTTCGCCCACAAAAGTAGGCTTCTTCAGTCGAGTTTCATAAAAGTTAAGACACATGTGGGAACATTGGATTTTCTTTATTGTAAAACGGGTTTTGCCATCCAGTGGCTTTATCAATACAGATTCTAGGACATAATAGGAAGGGCAGTAGAACTATATACAAAAGATGAGGTAATCAGTCCCTCGGCCTTGGGGTTAGTGTTCACAGCATCGTGGAGGAGAGTCTGGAGCAAAGGGGAGAAGACTGCGTTTTTATAGGCGTCAGTGGATGGGACGGGCAGCAGACGAGGGCAGTCACTGGTAGGCGGGATTCCCAGTGGAAGTAGGTCCTTCCCAAAGAGATGGGTTAGTTGCAGCAGCCGTGAAGAAGGTCTTGTAGATGTCCTCTGAACCAAGATTCCATGAAATCTTGGTTCAGAGGACATCTACAAGACCTTCACGGCTGCTGCAACTAACCCATCTCTTTGGGAAGGACCTACTTCCACTGGGGAATCCCGCCTACCAGTGACTGCCCTCGTCTGCTGCCCGTCCCATCCACTGACGCCTATAAAAACGCCAGTCTTCTTGCCTTTGCTCCAGACTCTCCTCCACCACGATGCTGTGAACACTAACTCCAAGGCCGAGGGACTGATTACCTCATCTTTTGTATATAGTTCTACTGTCTTCCTATTATGTCCTAGAATCTGTATTGATAAAGCCACTGGATGGCGAAACGTCTACAATAAAGATATCCAGATGTTGCACATGTGTCTTAACTTTCATATTGTCGGTATTTTATACCTTTCTTGCACAACGAGTACATAAAAGTTGATAGAAGCAGAAGAGACTTGAAGACGATGTAATCAGTCCATCACCCTTAAAGTTTTGAGGTGGTCAGTCCCTCAGTCTGGAGAAGAGCATTGTTCCAAAGTTTGAAACAATATTGTTTCATCCCTCAGGCGGTGTATGACCCCTACGGCATTAGAGCTTCCCCCTCTCCTCCATCCTTTAGGAAATGCATAAATATTATTACTGTAATTTTGGATACCTCTATAAATAAATTTAATTGGTCCTTGGATGAAATGAATTTACGCTAAGGAAAGCTGAGGAATAATCCTTTGTTACAACACTTTTTGACCCGAACGGGGTGGAGATATTTTTTTCTGAATATTTTGATAATAATGTGAAGAGGCCCCTCAGATTTAAAGCATTTGCAATAGATTAAAGTCTAAAGAGCTGAATGCATCTTTCTTGAACTGAATCGACTGCTTGGCAATGTTAGATTGGGTCCTTCTCTAAAAAATATGTAATCTACATCTTGTGCCACTAGTTTATATATAGTCTTTATTCTTCTTAAAGTTCTCAAATTCTCGCTCATAAAGTTGAGGATCTACAATCTCCACTACGAGGACTCTTATTTTGAGTGTGTCCCATGGAACATTCTGCAGGACACGTTTTTCTAATCCCTCGATGTCTAGTGATAGTAACTCTATCGTCGACACGTTAAGCGCCAGTAGTCTCCAGAGGGAAACACTGTGCGTTATAATATGATTTATCTGACAGTTTAAACACATAATCGTACGCATGTGTCTCTAGATTAACTCCCAGTAAAATGTGAAGCCCCGATAAATGTCAATGCATTTTCCCAAGAATTAATTTTCCCTATGTTCTTTTTGCTATGAGACCAACACTGACTCCACGGGGAATGGCTCGGGTGAGAGGCAGGTATTGAAGGTCCAGACTTTGCGTTGTTTACTGAGCAACCTGTGATAACTGAGCGGGTTGGGCTCCACCAGAAGACCCGTCCAGCCAAGTTCCTGCTCTAGAGTGTATTGGAGCCTCGCTCACCATCCAGGGTTCCAGCCTCTACGAAGAAACCGTCTCGTTAACCTTTAAACACCTTTCTAATATTTTTATGGATGAAATCCCTAGTTCCGAGATGTTTGGCTAAATTATAAAAGGTATCCGTGGAGAGGTTGTAGGGCAGAGTGGAGGGAGGGTTAAGGAAGGCACTTCTGAGGAGATTAACCACTCCTGGGTGACTGGAAGCTAAGGGTCCACGCGCACGATTTCTGATCTCATCTTGGTGGTCCCCTCAAGGAAGGTTCCTTGATGTTGGTGAGGGGCTCTTGATTTAGGGAATTGGATCTGTGCTCCAGTTCCCCGAATTAAGCCTGAATGCCTTCCACATCCCCCCCCAGGCGCTGTATAATCCTCCGGGTTTAGCGCTTCCCCCTTGATTATAATAATAATAATAAACACAATCTGGAAAGAATAAAATACAGCAAGATCAGCGTATACATTGTATTAAAGAAACCCATGTACAACGTTAGGGAACTGTAAGAAAACGGTTCACCCTGCAAGGGCTTTATCAATCCAAGCTGAATGATCCATATGGGTTTTGTGTTTCTTATAAACAATTTTAACAATAAAAAAAAAACATCTAACGTTAGACAAGGGTTATCCACAGCTTTCATGGAAGAACATTAAGCATAATCTACATAAACGACATAGATGAGGGCATAAAGAGCGACATCGGCAAGTTTGCCGATGACACCAAAATAGGCCGTCGAATTCATTCTGACGAGGACATTCGAGCACTCCAGGAAGATTTGAATAGACTGATGCAGTGGTCGGAGAAGTGGCAGATGCAGTTTAATATAGACAAATGCAAAGTTCTAAATATTGAGACACTTATGCAGCATATGGAAATCTTTATTCAGGAAACGTTTCGCCACACAGTGGCTTCATCAGTCCAATACAAAGAGGAAGGCGTAAGGAGAGGGGGAGAATGAGGTAATCAGTCCCTCAACCTGGAGTCGATGTGTTCAGTCCATCAATCTTGTAGAATGTATTGTATTGGATGTATTTGTATTGGACTGATGAAGCCACTGTGTGGCGAAACGTTTCCTGAATAAAGATTTCCATATGCTGCATAAGTGTCTCAATCTTTAACTTGTCGGTTTTTCAAACCATTCATCACAACTGTCAGACACTGCAGCATCATGGGATCTTGTTACAAAGAATTCTTCAACACTTGTTCAACCTTTGGACGAAGACCTACTTCGACTAGTGGATGGTACCACTATGACCCCGCCTCCATCTGCTTCACGTCACTTCACTACAGTATATAAGCCACGTCTACGGCCCTATGCTGTACATTCTACAAGATTGATGGACTGAACACATCGACTCCAGGTTGAGGGACTGATTACCTCATTCTCCTCCTCTCCTTACGCCTTCCTCTTTGTATTGGACTGATGAAGCCACTGTGTGGCGAAACGTTTCCTGAATAAAGATTTCCATATGCTGCATAAGTGTCTCAATCTTTAACTTGTCGGTTTTTCAAACCATTCATCACAAAGTTCTAAATGTTGGACAGGACAATAACCATGCCACATATAAACTAAATAATGTAGATCTTAATATTACGGATTGCGAAAAAGATTTAGGAGTTCTGGTTAGCAGTAATCTGAAACCAAGACAACAGTGCATAAGTGTTCGCAATAAAGCTAATAGAATCCTTGGCTTCATATCAAGAAGCATAAATAATAGGAGTCCTCAGGTTGTTCTTCAACTCTATACATCCTTGGTTAGGCCTCATTTAGATTATGCTGCACAGTTTTGGTCACCGTATTACAGAATGGATATAAATTCTCTGGAAAATGTACAAAGGAGGGTGACAAAGTTGATCCCATGTATCAGAAACCTTCCCTATGAGGATAGACTAAGGGCCCTGAAACTGCACTCTCTAGAAAGACGTAGAATTAGGGGGATATGATTGAGGTGTATAAATGGAAGACAGGAATAAATAAAGGGGATGTAATAGTGTGCTGAAAATATCTAGCCTAGACAGGACTCGCAGCAATGGTTTTAAGTTGGAAAAATTCAGATTCAGGAAGGATATAGGAAAGACGGGTTTGGTAATAGATTGTGGATGAGTGGAAAAAAACCCCCAAAATACCTTTATAGAGGCCAAACTTTGTGTAGCTTTAAAAAATGGGTTTGGGTAAACTGAGTAGATGTGGGTGGGTGGAGTTGACCTGATGTTGTGCTCCCGCGGTTGCCGTGTCCCCCCTTAAGTCAATGTGCCCTGCTGATGGGTTTGGGTGCTTGGGTTTAAGCCGGTAGGGGATTGGACCTCCTTTTCTGGGCAGTAGGCCCTTCTGCTTTGGGTTCCCTTTCGTTCTTATGTTCTTATTTTTATAAAAGCGTCTGCGTTACATTACTCGTGATAACTCAGTATTTTTCCCCCTTTAAATTTTCCATAATTTTTTACTCAACTTGAAAAATGGAAAAGTAACACGGAAAGTAGAAAAGGCAGCACTAAACTATACATCTGTGTCGCGACATGTTAATTATGTAAAGTTAGGGAGTTTTTCAAAAGAGTGGTGGAATCCTAAAAGGGGCTAATTCATAACATCACTGCTTAGTGGGGAAAATAAGAACAAAGAACATAAGAACAAGGAACACTGCGAAGGGCCCTCGGCCATGCGGGCGGGCCCAATCCCCTACCGGCTTAACCAAGCCCCCAACCTGTCAGGTCAGGTCACATTGATTTAAAGGGGGGAAACACGGCAACCGACCGGGGGCCCAAGCTATCAGGTCTAACTCACACCCCCCATCTACTATGTTTTATCCAACCTATTTTAAAGTACACAACTTTTCTGGCCTCTAAAAGGGTACTTGGAGTTTGTTCCATCCCCAAAAACCAAC